CCCGGCCAACCGCTCTACCCAGGAGGGAACCCCCTGCCTCGGTGTTTCTGTCGCCGCTGCCGCCCAGCCTGAGCCCGCGGGCCGCCCGTGCTGGGCACCTGTTGGAGGCCCAGGGACAGGTGCGGGGGCCGGGCCGGCCAGGGGAGCGCGGGTGAGGGTGAGAGGAGAAAAACACCGAGGCAGGGGGTTCCCTCCTTGGTAGAGCGGTTGGCCGGGGTTAGGGACTAGGCAGGCAGGCAGGCAGGCAGAAGCTTGGGCTGAGCGAAGAGAAGCAGAGGTGGGTGACACCCTGGCCAGATCCGCGCCTGATGGAGAAAATGGCCAGAGAGCCTCAGAGCAGCAAAGAAGGGGGAGCTGTGGGGTCTCTGGAGGGTTTGAGGGGATGGGAAACAGAGGGGGAGTCTAGAATGAGAGGAAAGTCCTGGAAAGGTGACAGAGGGACAATGTACAGGTAGTGGGCAGTGTTAAGGGGAGTCACGATCTGTCTGCCCGGACTGATCTGGCAACCCAGCCAGCCCCTTGTGAGGCCAGGCCTCCTGTCTGCCCACCAGCTAGCACAGATCACCTCTCCCTTGACATCCAGGAAGGGAGGGCAGTGAGGTTTCTCCAGACCCCAGCCAGCGACTCCAGCTCTGCACCCGTCTCCCAGCCAGAGGTGCTGCATGAGGGGCCGCAGGGGCGATCGCATGACCATCAACATCCAGGAGCACATGGCCATCAACGTGTGTCCTGGACCTATCAGGCCCATCCGCCAGATCTCGGACTACTTCCCTCGCAGTGGGCCAGGACCAGAGGCTGCTGGCAGCAGGGGCTGCGGGGATGCCCCAGCTCATTTGACCCCTCTGGCTCTGGCCCCCCCTGCGGCTCTCCTTGGGGCCACCACACCCGATGATGGAGCTGAGGTAGAGGTAGACAGCTACGACTCGGATGATACCAGTGAGTCTGGGGGCTCAGCGGGCTCCCAAGTGTTTGTGTGTGTGTGTGTGTGCGCGCGCGTGTGTGTAGGGTGGGGAGGAGGGGAGGACAGTCCTGCCACCACAGCTGCAGTCTGGGTGCAGATTACAGCTTCAGCAAGGCTCAATATTCAATATTTCTGCTGAGACACTCCACCACCCACACAGTCAGTTGCGGCCGAGCCAGAGACCCAGACGCAGGCATGCACATGGCTGCTCAGCCTCTTGCACACACACTGGCAGGCCAGCAGAGATGTGGACACGGTCTTCAAGCCACTAGGTCTCACACTCTGGACTTGGACCAAAACCACATTACCTTCTCCCTCTTCTCTTCCCTTGTCTGCAGCTGCCCTGGGCACTCTGGAATTCGACCTTCTCTATGATCAGGCTTCCTGCACTCTGCACTGTAGAATCCTCAGGGCCAAGGTGCGTGTCCCTCCTTCCTGGGTTGCTACCCTAGGGTGGGGGCTGCATCTTCCCCCCAACCAGTGCAGACTCCCGCATCTCTGGAACTGTACTCTGTGGGGCTCCAGTCCTGCAGGAGGAGGGAACAAGGCTTGGGAGTCTAAAGCCCCCTTTGCACATATCCTGCAGGGCCTCAAGCCCATGGATTTCAATGGCCTGGCTGACCCCTATGTCAAACTGCACCTCCTGCCGGGAGCCTGCAAGGTATGTCTCCTTCCAGCATTGGCTTGACTTATGGGTCCCTCCCAGTGCCGACCTGCGGCCTTTGGGGCCCCAGGGTCCATGCATCAGAGCCCTTTGTCCCCATGCCCCAGGCCAATAAGCTAAAAACTAAGACCCAGAGGAACACACTGAACCCCGTGTGGAACGAGGAGCTGACGTACAGCGGAATCACAGATGATGACATCACACACAAGGTGCTCAGGTGAGGACTTTTCCTCCAGGCCAGCGCCTCTGGGATAGCTGTCATGGGAACCTTTGGTTGGTCAATCTCCCCGTGTCCCAGTAAGCTTGTTTTGCTGACACTCCATGGTAACTAGTGGCTGCCAAGCCCCCTCCGCAGCGGCCCAAATGTTCCCACTGGTCCTCTAGCACAGGACTGTTGGTTTGGCAGCTGAAGACCTTATCAGTGGGGCCGGGTGCTGCATTTGCTCATGGCTTCCTCTGCCCACCTAAATCTTTCCTCTGAGGCTCAACCCCAAACCTGCCTCTGGAAAGGTTTCTCTGCTCTCCAAGACCCCTCCCCAGAGCCCTTGGCTTTAGTCAGACCTTCACACCTCAAGCTGCTACCTACATTCTCTGAGGAGGAAAGTCTTCCCGGTTGGGGAGCTTGCCCTGTCACCATAGGTGTGAGAAGTACCTCAAAGAGGAGCGCATCAGCCAAGTGCAGGTCCAGAGAGACCTCGTCCTTTATTCTTGGGTAATAGGGAGCCACAGAGGGTTTCTTACCATGGGAGAGGCATTGTTACCAGGGTTCTTCTACAGAGCCCACCTTGGATATCAGAGGTGGGTGAGACAAAGGCAGAAGCCGCAGACTTGGCCTCATGCTCCTCAGGGTAGACAAGGAAGCCTCAGGGTTGCAGAACGCGACTATTGTTTCAACAGGGTCAGCCCAGGCTGGTCTTGAACTCAGATCCTTCTGCCTCAGCCTTCTGAATGCCAGGCTTGCAGTGTGCCACCATAGCCCATTATTAGGGAGCATTTTTGTTTGATTTTTTTGAGACAGGGTTTCTCTGTGTAGCCTCGGCTGTCCTGGAACTTGCTCTGTAGACCAGGCTGACCTCAAACTCACAGGGATCCGCCTGCCTCTGCCTCCCAAGTGCTTAGAGAGCATTTCTTTGCTTTACCTCGTGACAGTTTTAGGAGATGGTTATGCTCTACCCCCACTTTACAAATGGACAGTCAGGTGACCTGCCTAAGGTCACACAGCTAATGGGCAGGGCTGGAACTTCAACACACCTTCAAACCATAGCTACTCACCCCTTAAGCCTGTACCGCTCTATCTGGGACAGGCTGGCTCCCTGCTCCAGCAGGAAAGAGCAGGGCACCCAAGTCTATCAGTAGTCTGTGGCTGTGTAAAGCAGCTAAACACCCACAGGGGACTACCACTGTGCCTGTGGCCACACCCCGTGGGGGTTCAGCTGGCACCTGTCCCAGGTGGGTAATTCTTGATGGATACAAGACAGCTCAGGGCGGACAGGGCACACCCAATCGCCCTTCTCAAGCTTCCACCCATTTTACAGATGAGGTGTCAAACTTAGGGCAGAGCTGGGACTGGTCCAAGGACCCTTTCTCCCTCCGCGGGGCTCAGATACCCAGGGCCCTGACCCTGCAGTTCCCCGCCAGGATCTCTGTCTGTGACGAGGACAAGCTGAGCCACAATGAGTTTATCGGGGAGATTCGAGTGCCCCTCCGCCGCCTCAAGCCTTCACAGAAGAAGCATTTTAACATCTGCCTTGAGCGCCAGGTCCCGGTCCGTGTGGGGCTAACGGGTATGGGGGAGGGGACCTGGAGAGGTCAGCTTGCCAGAACCTTGTCTTTGCCCCCTCAGCTTCCTTCACCCTCTTCAATGTCTGCGGCACTGAGGGGCATTTCCTGTTACCTAAAGGAGGTGAGGCACATCCTGAGAACCCTGTCTGGGTGGGAGGTGGGAGAGGGCCTAGACTGACCTCTGACCCCTGCCTCCTTTTCTGGCAGCTAGAGCAGGCAGAGCAGGGACCTGGGCTGCTGGAAGAGCGTGGGCGCATCCTGCTGAGTCTCAGCTACAGCTCCAGGCGGCATGGGTTGCTGGTGGGCATTGTTCGCTGTGCTCACCTGGCTGCCATGGATGTTAACGGCTACTCTGACCCTTATGTGAAGACGTGAGCCCTTGCCTAAGCCTGACCCCAGCCTGACTGCTCTGGGGCTTAGCCTGTCCCTAACTTCATGGTTCCCCTCTCTCTGTAGGTACTTGAGACCAGATGTGGATAAGAAATCCAAGCATAAAACATGTGTAAAGAAGAAGACATTAAACCCAGAATTTAATGAGGTAAACATGACAAGGAGCAGAAGTGAAGATGGGCTGGGGGTGGGGATGTGGTCAGAAGGCCTGACAGAAAGCGCTGCCTGCCTTGTTCACAGGAATTCTTCTATGAAATGGAACTCTCCACTCTGGCCACCAAAACCCTGGAAGTCACAGTCTGGGACTATGACATTGGCAAATCCAATGACTTCATTGGTGAGTGGAGAGGCCCACCAGGTGCCGAGGGAAGTAGGGCAGGAGAATGGGCACTGATTGGGTCTGCCTGCCTTGGCTGTTCTCTAGGTGGTGTGTCTCTGGGGCCAGGAGCCCGGGGAGAGGCGCAGAAACATTGGAGTGACTGTTTACATCAACCGGATACAGCCCTGGAGCGCTGGCACACCCTGACCAGCGAGTTGCCCCCAGCTGCAGGGGCTTTCCCTTTGGCCTGAGCAGACAGTAGCTGCCCAGCATAGGCCCTTGGGGCCGGGTCCAGTACCCAACCTTCGCACGAGTGTGTTGCACGTTTACACGGGGTGGGATGCCCGCCCCACACTACCTGTCTTATTTTTGTGAGTCTCTGTGACTGTGGGTCTGTCTTCTTGTGAGGGACCATGAGAGCTATTTCACATATGCAAACTTTCTTCTGCCTAACTTGCTGTTACCGCAAATATGCAACCCCCATGCACGGGGCCCTGTGGGGTCTCCTGCCAGGGTCCCTACCCCACCCTGCTACTCCTCTCTTGGCCTCTCCAGGCTGCCCGGCCCCCTGCTGCACAGGGAGGAGGTCGGATTAGGGGAGATTAGAGGAGGACATTTCCAAAGGAGGAAAGAACGAGGAAAGAGCCAGCCCTTTAATACAGAGCCTTCTTTAAAAAGTCCCAGCCCTGTTCAGCTGCTCTTCTAAAGGGGCGGCCTCCACAGGGTCTCTGCTCCCTAAGATGTGGCAGATCCTCTTGGCCACTCGTTTAAATAACTGTCCCCTGGATGGGGCTGGGATGTGAGGGCAGGGCCCCTGCCACCTTCCTCGGGGACATTTGTGCATGTTTACGCCTTTTCTGATTGTGTCAGTGGCCGAAGCATGGCAACTGGGCATCAATAAACATCTCTTGAAGAAGTGGGCTCACGCGTGCTGTGTGGGCTCGGCAGGTCACGGGGCACTACTCCGGGATGTCGATTACCAGGTCGTCGTCTCCGTCAAGGGCGTCATCCCCGCTGCCTGCGTCGCTGAACATCTGCTGAGGGACGGTGCTCAGGATCGTGTGTGGGGGCATCTTGGGAGGAGGCAGGGGGGTCAGGGCTGCCCCAACACTGGCCCCAGAACCCCTGGCAGGGAAGGCCAGTGGCCCACCCACAGGGCAGTCAGGGGGTCCTACAGCCATCTGCAGCAGGGGAGAAACACAAGGAGGACTTGTCAGATGCACTGGCACTAGGCAGCTGCACAACGCCCACTGAAAGGCAGTTCGAGGGGTGGGGGCAGCCCCACCGCAGCCCCTCAGTCTCAAGCCGTGAATTGCCTGGGTGAGGGGCGGTGATGGAGGCATGATGGGGATGGGGTGAGGGGAGTCTCATAGGGAGCCTGACAGAAAAGCTGGGCTCTTCCCTCACTAGCAAAGCACCATAGTTGCTCTGTGCCAGCAGTTAAAGTCAGATTCAGGACTAGCTCAGAGTGCCTTCCTCCTGCCTCTGGGCACCTTGGGTGTCATCTGCCACCATTGGTCAGCTTTCCCTCCTCCTCCTGTGGGATTCACTGTTTCATGGTGGGCATCACAGGCTACCTGAGCCAGAAGCCTAAGCAGCAGCTCTGTTCCCCAGCTTCTATGGCATTGTGGATGAGCCCCTCCTTGGGACCCCAGCAGTCACCGGCCTGAGTCAGGCCCTCCTCTCAGCTCACCTGGTCTAGGTACCAGCCTCCTAACTGGATTCCCTGCCTTCAGCCTCTCCCAGAGCCAGCTCCTCCTCCACACTGCGGCCAGAGTGATCACTCTAGAACACAAACCTGAGCATGTCACTCCTCTGCCTGAGGGCCCTGGCTACCCTCAGGGTGGTCTGTGCAGTGTGCCTAACAGGCTGACCCTGCTCCATTTGTCAAGGTCATCTTTGTCCTCTGAGCTGGGGCCTCTGCTCTGCCCCGCCCTGCCAGGTCCTCACACATCCTCCCTCAAGAGAGCTCTCTACATGTTGTGACAGCTCACATGTCGTGGGCACAAACTGAATACCTAGCATGCCCAGGTGTTCAATAATCTCTACTTTATAGGACCGTCCTGGAAAAGAGGTGTGGAAAGGGAAGTTAAAGGGACAGAATGCTAGTCCACACTGGGCAGGGCCCAAGGTGCCTCTGGGACTGGGGTAGCAAACGACATCTATGTGTGGTCTCCCCATGGCCTCCTGATTGCTTCCAGACCCTTACCTGTTTGTGGGTCATGTGACGGTGCTAGAGTAGGCAAGGCCTCAGGAAACATGGATGCAGACTGGAGGGCCAGCTCTGGGAATTCCCGAACCGGGACCCCTGTGGTGATCTGAATGAGAATGCTGTCCCACCCCCCAGAGGCTCTAATGTTTAAATACTTGATCCCCAGCTGTTGAAATTTTATAGAATTAAGAAGTTGGCCCTGTTGGAGGAGGTGTGTCATTGGAGGTGAGCTTTGACTTTTCAAAAGCCCTCACGGTTCTCAGCTCAGATGCTCTCATTCTCCATCTCTCCCTCCCTCTGCCCCTTGCCCCCCCTGCCCGGCATCATGGACTCTACAGGTTGCCTTGGTCATGGTGTCATAGCAATAGGAAAGTAACCAAGACAACTGCCATGTGCCGGAGATGATATGCATAATGAGAACCAGACCTCTGCTGGTTCCCTCTGCATTGCCACCTTGCTCCCCAGGAATTACCCTAACCAGTATTCCCTCAGTATGACCAAGAGCAATCAGTGTGGCTCTATGGGCTGCCAGGGCCCAGGCGCTGGCTAGGCTATGTTCTCCACGCCTCGCTCATTTTAGCCTCTCCTGCCCTCCACTCCCACTGCCACCTCAGCAGGAACTAGCTAATCTTACTGACCCCATGCTCCAACACTAGCCCTTCCTGGATCCTCCCATGCCCCCACCTAAAGCAGTTGACTCTAGTCTTTCCCTATCAACCCAGACTAAACACCCAAACCTCTTTCCTACCCTAGGTTGCTGAGCTGTTTTCTCCCACTTGTCCTGAAAGCCAGAAGCAAAACCTCTCAGGAAAGGCCAGTGTGTATTATTGCCCCACTGTTTCCTCCAGTGCCAGGGGTCAAACTTAGGGCCTTGAAAATGCCAGGCAAGAACTGCTACTGAGTCACATGCCTAGTCCCCAGAGTTCATACTTAACCCCCAGGAGCTAGAGGTACAGGAGGTTGCGAGCGTTTGGTGTGAACTCCTGAACCTGGGTCCCTGGAAGAGCAGCAAAGGATCTTAACTGCTGAGTCATTTCTCTAAGCCTGCAATTCATCCTTCCATGGTTTGTTCCTGCCTGCCCATCCCCTCTCTCTGAGGCTATAGCCCTGGCTGGCCCAGAATTCACTTGTAGAGCAGGATAGCCTTAGACTAAGAGTCTGTCTCTGCCTCCCAAGAGTTGGGATTAAAGGTGCATACCACTAGGCCAAGCAGAATTCCCGCTCTTAGCCACTAATAAATACAACCTCTGATTCTGCTTGTGGTATCAGAGCACCGAGAGCTGTTTAGCCTGGTCCAATGATGGCCATCCCCACCTTCCTTCATCTTTGGCTCAGTTCTCATCACTCCTGGGGCTTCATGGTTGGCTTCTTTCCTTCACCAGTCTTGCAGCCCTCCAGAGACTCAGCTCACACAGGCTGCTGACTAGTTAGCACTCCCAGATGCCTTCTCAACAGGCCCAAGGCCGGTTCTTCATCTCTCCTCTAAAATTAGCTTCTCTATCATCCTCATCCCAGAAAAACTGCCCCCTACTTCTTCACTGCTCAGAAAAAAGAGCCCTGGAACCCTTCTGGCTCCCTTTTCCCTCTCACAGTTAGTCTGGGTCTCTGAGGAAACCCTGCAGCCCGTCTTTGACATGGAGCTCTTCTGGGTCTCTTGAAGGTCCTTCCTTCCCACTGTGTCTACAATGCAAGCAGAACTACATCCTGCCCTGCTTACCCTGCCCAAATGGCTCTCACTCCTTTCTCTCTTTCACCTCAGGGTCCTATGTGCTTTCCTCAGGCACCAGGTCTCTGACCACCTGCCCAGCCCCCCCACCTTCTTTTTCTTGTTTGAAATACAACCTCATTATGTAGCCTTGGCTGGCCTGGAACTCACTTTACAGACCAGGCTGGACTTGAACACACAGGGATTCATCTGCCTCTGCCTCCCAGGTGGCTGGGCCTAAAGGCGTGTGCCAGCATGCTCTGTTCCCCCTTGTCTTTCAACAAGCACACTCACCACCAGACACCTCATGGTGTGCGTCCTGTACCCACTCAACAGCACCCTAGATAATCTACCTTCAAAGTCCTGCCACTGTCCTCATTTTCTCGCTGTGGCCAATCCACCTTATTTACCTTCTGCCCATTTCGCAGACAGAGTAGCAGCTCGGTACAGGGTTACAGGGTTTGGCTCCCTGTCTGTCACAAGCAGCAGCCCTGCAGAAAGGCTCTCAGCACAGGAGGCGCTCCATGGCCACCTGCTCATTTCCCCGTTTCATCACTCTGAGTCTAGGATCCCCTGTCAAAGTCACACTGCTCTGAACTCGGGGAGCTGGGACTCTACACATCACAGTCCTGCCCCAGCTCCAACAGGACTATGTACAAACATGCCTCACTCCAGCCATGCTGCAGGGCTTGGCCAGAGAGCCCGGCTGTGAGGCAGAACCTCGAGCAGCCTAACTTGGGAATCTTCCAAGACTGACTCTGGCACTGCTAGGGAGCCAGGGCTCCTCTGCTCTGCCCTTCAGGGCTGAGACTTGGACCGAGACTTAGCATTTCAAACCAATCTTTCAAATTTTGGATATCAGGCTGGGGATACAGCCCAGCTAGTACAGGGTGTGCCTAACACAGTACTGTGTGAACCAGATGTGGTGCACATGCCTGTAATCCTAGCGCCTGGAACGTGGAGGCAAGAGGACCAACAGTTCAAAATCATCTACTACCTACAAGAGGCCCTTTCTCAAACAAAACAAAACACCCAAAGTCTCTGTGCACGCTCTCTAGTCTTAAGCTTCCTTCAGGTGGATGTCCTGCCTTTGTGGCCCCTCCCTATAGTCCCCACATCAGGGTACCTTGAGTTTCCGGGGTAGGCGGGGCCGTTTCTCCAGCTTGGGCCTCAGGGGGCTGGGCTCAGGCAGCTGCAGGGCCAGGTAGTCAGAAGGGAATGGGGGGTAAGGGGGAGAAGCCAGCTGAGGTGGGAGTAAGGAAGATGGAGATGGGAAATGGAGTAGGTAAAGGCGAGGGGTGAAGGGCAGAAATGTACACAGGAGAATGGAAAAACAAGAGATGCTGATGAGTGTGGCTCCCAGGCTCCTGAGAACAGAGGGGAGGGACAGCAGCAGGACTGTGTCCTGGGTCTGCCCCTAGTCCTACCCGGGAGAGATGTAGGCAGCCTGACTCACACCCTCCAAAGGTTACTTGCTGGCCACATGTGGACACATCCTGAGTTGGGAAGCCTCGCCCTGAGACCTAGCCCCTTTGCCCGAATGATGCCCACTGTATTCCCAGGCTCGGTAGTGCATGCACTACTTCCTGGTCTTGATCCCAACTCACCGAACTCAGGTATGGGGACGGGGCCCCAGAAGTCTGCAGCGGAAATCCTGTTGAAGAAGGCAAGGAGAGGCTGGAAGGGGACGGGGCACCGCCCATTTGAGGGCTTCTCTTCCTGGAGAAGGGATAGGGAGAAGGGTCA